AAAAAAAAAAAAAAAAAAAAGTTCCCCTAAAAAGCATTCTGTTTTTCTCTTTCAAGTTATATTACAAGTATCATTCAAATGAAATGTATTTCTCAAATAATGGATTTTTCTCAAAATTCTATTCTTTTAGCTCCAGTCACTGAAAGGGCTAAATTGATTTCCTTGCCAACTAGTAAAAACTGGACCTTTGGGCCCCAGGATATAGATGAACTGATCTTTATGCTAAGTGACAGTCCTGGGGTCATGTGCCGGCCTTCCAGAGTCAGACAGATGTTTGCCTCCCGAGCCTGTCGAAAGTCAGTAAGTAGCTCTTCATGTACCTATTAAACCAAAACTAACGTTTTGGCACTCATGTACACAGATGGAAGTAAAACTCAGTGGAAATCAAGTAGGTGGGAAGGGGGTGGGTGCAATCATAGATAATGAGTCATTTGGCACGTAATGGGTGATGGGCCCATTTACCACCCTACTCAAGCAGTATAAAAGCAATCCATGTAACTAAAACATTTGTACCACTGTAATATTCTAAAATCAATAAAATAAAAGAAAGCTCATTTGCTCAAGATCATAGTCTAAGGAATTTCTTAGTTAAGCTCCTGATTTAGTCAATGTTCTGCCACATTGCTCCCTGTCAGCATGATGTACCAGCTCAGCATGTTTGTGTTATCTGTGCCTCTAACTCATAACTGTAGCTCTTTCTCTATTTCTGTTAAACAGTATTGTATCTTAGAGCTCTTGTTGATTCCCAGTATAGTAGCTGTTTAGGCACCTTGTTTGTTGGTGGACCTTATGGGCAATAACAACTTGAGTGAATAGAGATTGCTGCTGCCAGGCCTAGGTGACATTGTCCAAGATTCTGTGAAGTCATTTAGTTGGCAAGTGTCTTACAGGGTGCTGTGCATGGTTATTGCATATTGTATCACTGTTGCCACTTGGATTGGTATTGGAAAGCGGGAGTAGTGGTTGGGCATTACCCTGCTATCCGAGGAAAGTAAGTGACTCTGTTTCACCTGCCATAAAGAGGGGAAGTATGTCATTCCTTTATTTAACAAATATTCCTTGAGCCCCTGCTGTGTGGCCCATCCTGTTCCAGGTGCTAGAGATACAGAGGTAACTGAGGTCCTTGCCGTTGTGGAGGATACAGTTTGGTGGGGAGAAAAAGATATCAACAAAAATTAATGACACCAATAAGATACCAGTAAGTGCACTCAAGACTCCACAGAAAATGAGGGGACCAGGTGAAATGTGGTTAGGGAATGGTGTCTGAGGAATTGACATCTGAACTATTACTTCAAAGTCAGGGTGAAGAAAGAATTGGTCAAATAGAGCAAGTGTGAAGGGTCAGGGTGTTTGAGTGAAGCCAGGTGCTGACTGTGTGCCTGGAGAGGGGCAGCCACATAGAGCCTATGAAGGCCCTGTCAGAGCCTGGAGGCTGTGCTGCATGTTGTAGGAGCTGCTGGGGAGGGAAGTGACAGCAAAGGGTGTCAGGACTGCAGGAGGGGCCTGGATAGGATCAAGAGTACTGTGTGAGACGTGGTCTGTCTGGGATCCCATTAGACTTTAAGTGAGGGTGTCTAAAAACAGTCATGTGAAGAGTCTAGTGCAGTGTTTTTTTTAACCTTTTTTATCTCACACCAGACTCAAGTCTATAATTAAACTTATGCAGCATATTTAAATTATGTTGATCAACAAAAGAGTAAAAGAATATATTTACTGTGCTTTGAACTTCTTTTGAAAATAATTTAATTAATCTTTACACATTTTCACAGCACACCTAAGATCCTCTCATGGCACACTGAAAATCGCTGATCAATGGGTGGTGCCTGTGGCTCAGTGAGTAGGACGCTGGCCCCATATACCAAGGGTGGTGGGTTCAAACCTGGCCCTGGCCGAATTGTGACAAAAAAATAGCCGGGAATTGTTGCGGGCACCTGTAGTCCCAGCTATTCGGGAGGCTGAGGCAAGAGAATCGCTTAAGCCCAGGAGTTGGAGGTTGCTGTGAGCTGTGACGTCACCACACTCTACAGAGGGCGATAAAGTGAGAC